TGTGGGTTCTAGTATACCTCTACGAGAACTTTCACATTAGGTAGACTCCTTGCTAATACATTCGACGTACAAGCGCCATCAACATTAATATTTATTTATTCCTACCTACAATATAATATTATTAAAATAGTCCATTCCACACCCGATTGGTTAACCTTCTTACTTCACCAGTAAATGTTAAAGTAAATAGTTTAAAAAATAAAATAAAACTTTATAAGTGTTTAGCTTGTGTTCCACTGGAAAATATTATTGATTCCAGTTTAATTATTGATCAATACCACTACTACCCATGAGAACTTATTTTAATCCATTATTGTACTCGCTCAGGACCTAAACAAATATATTTTTGAAGCTTCTTACTTTGTTGCTCTCTCACTTATTGAGTAAAAGTAAGTAATGTATACAGATAATAAGTAATATATTTTTTATATTTTTGTTATTTATTTAAAAAATCAATAAGTTCCTTTCTACGTTACTCCATGTGCCGAATGGACCATATTGCGTTTCTCCTTCTCTTCTTTTCATCGAAGCTCATCAAAAGGTTTTGGGATCATCGAATGCGTTGATAAATTTCAAAATTTTATTATTTAAAACCTGACCGTGCGATAAGTATCCCATAACAACCATAGAATCTAAGAGGTTTTAAGGAAAAAATTACAATCTATCTCGAAGACGGGGGGTTCGCGTCCAAATCTTTAAAACAGAATTTATCCTCTCTCAATCCTCCGACTTATGAAACCATATAAATTTTGAAACCTCGTGATTTTTTCAGTGACTTTTATTGTAGTAATTGTAAGGTTTTAGATTTTGAAATACAAATTCGAGACTTCTCCATAAAATTCTCTTTCATTTGATACCTCATTCATCGAAATCTATCGCACCTGAGAGCCCGAAAAGGGAATCTATACTATCGTATGTTATATCTCTCTATTATATAAAAAAAAAGTGTGACTTTCATATTTTATTTTAGTATTTTGAGAGTAGGGGTTAACAGGAGCTCAACTTTTAACGACTATTTTACAAATTATACAGGTGTTCATTTAATTAGATGTGTGTTGAGCTGCTGTTACCTCTCACTCTCCTAATACAAAAAAAAATCTTGGACTAAAAATTTGTATGGGAAATGATATTCATCTGGAGGTGGTAGTCTGATCCTAGGTGACAGCAATTATTTTTCCATCTAGACATTTTCCTTGAATGCAATATATTAATTATTATATTATATAGTGATAATTATTATTATTATGAAATAGAAAAGGAATTATAATATAAAGTACAATGAAAATATTAGAAATAAATCAAATTATTGTTGGGCTTATATGAAGCTGGTAAAGTTGAATATATATTATGGTTACTGAAGAGAAGCATAGTTGGGGTGGTCAGTCAGAAAGGAAGGCAAAAATAAATGATAATATTTATTTTTTACATATGCCGACGTTTCGACCCTCTTCCTCTCTTCTCCCTGCGACACTTAAGGAGACAGCCCTGATGAAGGCCTGAACTTCAGGTCGAAACGTCGGCATATGTAAAAAATAAATATTATCATTTATTTTTGCCTTCCTTTTTAACTGACCACCCCAACTATTCTTCTCTTCATTATCCACGACAGTCAACCAATTACCAATTATTATGGTTACTAATTGACAATATGAATAATTATAATTGTATAGTAATATAAATTGGCAATAATACGTAATGGATAAAATGTATATCAAATAATTTAAAAAATAGTCTGAACTGTGGTTTGTTCAGTTTATTTTATGTTGATAAAACATAATACAATACGAACTGCATAATACATGTAAATTAAAATTATAAAATTCCAGCAACGAGTAATTCATTTAAATGAACAGTTGTATTATTTGTAAATTTGATGTTGTTCCCTCCTAGTCTACTATACTGTAGATAAGTATATTTACAAAGAAGTTATTTGGATACGGTTTGTTAACTGCTATATTTTATTTAATCCATTATGCAAGCACATTCTGCTTGTATCCTATTTCTTTATGTATCTTATGAATATTGTACAATATAGATAATATAATAAAGGGCAAGATAGGACAGTTTGCACTATTGTTATTGTTCAGGCTTCGTTAGAAAGGTCGAGGATCTAGGTCTGATTGTAACCTTTATTCGATATTACAGCGAAGGCTGCCTATTTCCTTTGTAATTTTGGTTAGACCTTAGTAGGGTAGTTGGGAGTGCTTTAGTCGATTGTACTGTCGAAACTAACTGTGACAAGAAACTCCGAGTTTTCCTCATAAGGGTATTAAAATCAACTTTGGAATTATGTTGTTGAATGAACCAATTTTCTACTGCTTTTATGTTAATTTTGATTTGTACTGTATTTAATTATATTTGACTTATATATCGTAACAGGATTTTTCGTGATGGAATATATTTAGCCCATATATATGTATATATATATATATATATATATATATATATATATATATATATATATATATATATATATATATATTTTACCATCTATTTTTTCTTATTTCTGGAACTCTTTATCTATTATATTTTTTATTTGATTTAGCTAGATATCAAGCATTTTATTTTTCCAAATTGAAATGTCATAGTCGCTCTTAACGTTTCAAATGCGGTGCATGTCGTGACCACGTGCTCTACAGTTTCCGGAACACTACAGGTTGGGCATAGAGGAACTACATCAATACCCAGACCGTGAAGTTTATCCCGAAATCCTCCATGCCCAGTGAGGAACTGTTAAATCCAATAGTCTGGGAGGATCCACTTAGCCTGAAGCCTCGACTGTACCGTGGGAAAGTACTTCCTCAATGTACTTCCTTTAGGGATAGCTACCTACCGCCATGCTTCAATCGTATCCTCCCGGACTATCTTATTCGCGCATCCATAATCCTCACCTGTAGATTGTCCGAAAGTACTGTAGAGTCTTCCCTTTTATAAAAATATTTCGTCACTTCTTCTAGCAGGAGGAGGTCGAGAGGCACCACCTCCACTAGAACCTGCACAGCTTCATGCGAAGTTATCCAGTATGCTCTGGTGACCCGAAGCAGAGCTGTTCTCTGATTCGACGCTAGCCGTTTTTTTTATAGTGTGAGGTTCCGGAACCAGAAGGGAAATAGGGAAATAATTCCGAAACGTCAACTATAATTGACGTGTAGCAAAACAAAATTTGTTTGCATTTATGGAAGAATTTCTTATGTTTATATGTAATGTAGCAAAAAGAATGACCGATGGAAAAACATTTAAAATGTACTGTATTTTTATATGGTTTATTCTATTATCTATTCGTATCTTTCTCCGAGTTTCAGTAAGTAATTGATAAACCATCTCATTTGAAATCAAGATAATACGAAATCTGCTTTATATCTGTGGAATTATCTTTAAATCTTACTTTTACATAGACTAGCGAAGCTCAGACTTTTTTGGAAGGATTATAACCCCAAGTTTTTCTGAAACCCCTGAAATGGAAGTTTTAATGCCGGAGATTAGTGTTAAAAAGCTGGCGAAGAAGTTGCTAAAAAGTCCTTGAACTTGTGCAGTCCTCGAGTGAAGTAATTTCTTTTATAACCATTAAAACTTCATTCCCAGAATCATTTTTAGCCCTTTTGTTTTTTACAATGTGAAAGATAAAATATTGCCACTCAGTATAACGAAAATAAAACTGACATAACAATACTTATTCAATTTTCAATCTATTTATTCGTTAACATTCATTTATTTATTTTCCTTATCTGTTAACCCACAGTTATCTAATGTAATCTCTATTAGTTTGTTATACACTTATTCCTTATCTTTTATCGCAATCTGTTTACTTTTAACTTACATGCTATATTCTCCTTTATTTTTATTTTTATTCATACTTATTTTCCATTTATTTGTATCTTCTACATATATAATTCTTAATATTTAACTACATTGTCACCCACTATATCTCTGATACCATCTTTTATTTCTGTATCTGACAACTTCTTCTTATTTTATATATACTTAAATTTATTTTTTACTTTCAACATGTTTTGTATCTTTTGTAGCCCTGAAGACGACCTGATAAGTGGGTCGAAACGTCGGCAAAAATTAAAATAATTAATATATTTTAATTTATTATTTATTTGACCGCACCCTCGACTAACTCCTTCTCATAAAATATTTATAAATTGTAATAATGATAATCTTTTCCTAAAAAAAAAAATTCCGTCTTACCCCCTTCCCTAATATGACAGCTAGTATGAAAGCTAGAAGCCCTGGTATAGGATGAATAAGAAAAGAACAACAAAATTATAATTTTAATAAAACAGTTCCCACCATAGTGTAGTAAACTATATTAATTATGTTACATGAATGTTTTATAATTTATAATTTTCATTTTTTGGAAAGGAGGAGAGTGCTATTTGTAAATGGCTTGTAGAACTGTAACATTATAATATGGAGAAAGTAAATTTTTTTGTTAATAATATTTTTTAATAATGAAGTAAGGACTGAGATTAATATTGTTAAAACATTAATCGTTTATTGATTAAATATAGTCATTAAATTGAGTTAAAATAATGAATAGGAAAATCATTTATGTGTATCATATATAAAAATAAGATTTAAAAATCCCGAATCGAAAGATTATTAATTTTTCATAAAAACGGTAACAGAAGACATACATTTTAACCAAAAAAAGTATTAACTTTGGACATTGTTGTTGATATTTTTTAGATTGAAGTATTATTTACCAGAACATAAATATCAAGTTTGATGAGACTCACTTGGTTTCTAAGCACTCATTGAAAGAGTTAAAAAGATACTTTTATCCTTTTTTTCTTTCTTTTTTTTTTTGAGCTAATCGCGTAGCATAAACTTTCTTGCATATCACCAGGAAAAATTTCTGTTTTACTGAATCAGCTATTTCGTTAACCATGTCTTATTTTTTTTAGAGTGAGCTATTATTCCAGCTGTTATATATATTAGACCATATTATACGTTTATTTATCTAGAAATATTTTTAAACAGTATAAAAAAGCTTAATTTTTACCTAAGCCTAGGAAGATGGAACCTCCAACAATCAGAAATCGGTTCCACTTTTCGGTGGTAGGAGATGGGAGAACCGATCCTGGAGTAGATCCGGCGATAAGACCCCAATTAGGAGCTGGAATTAGCTCTGGAATCGCTTCCTCCAGGCTCGCCCACAAGTCGAACCTTCCTTGCTTCCCTATTGTCCTGAAGAGATGGGACCTAAGTAGTTTTTTACTGATCCTTGCTACTCTTTAATGGGTTTCCAGCTATTGCTTCCCTTAATTGTTTTCCTTCAAGCTTGCCTTCTGTCCTTGAATGGGATATATATTTATTGCTTTTGTTATATAAAATTTGAAACATAGGTTCGTCTTATCTTTAATCTATTAAACTTTTGTATGAAATTAGGAATCGCCCATTAAAAAAAAAAAGTTATTGTTTTCTCGTGTTAAATCTACATTAGATTGTTGCTTTATTATTAATATAATAATAATCATTATCATCGCACTATTTATATGTAGAAGTTCGTCTACTGAACCAAAAATAAATAAATTCGACCAATACTTTGTAATAAATGTTTATTTAAGTACCATCCATGTCTTATAGATAATGATTCCTGTGGATGTTTATCTGTTTTTAATGTACAGTATATAAATTTATTAATTAAGAGCCGTTAGTCGTCTCCGAGTAGCAAGCAATGTGTTTTTAAAAGTATACGTAAAAGATGCGTGCCGCACTATTAAATCTAACGAAGTATGTCAGTCAAACTGCCTTGTGACTGACCCTCATTTTTTGATTCGCTATAGCAAATTCGTTGAACCTAGAAACAAGTTCTTCTCAAAGACATTTTTTGTTGAATTCAAGGACGACATTACCGTAGAAGATATATCGAAGATGGGCAGCGTCGAAAAATTGAATCAACTATAATATTTCATAAAAGGATGTTCAATAAACTGTTAAATAGAATAATTAATCACTATAGAGAAACGTTAATGCATATATATATTATTGTTTATTTAAAAAATTACTACTAAAAGATTGTTTTACTAATTATATATTTATATGTATTGTTGCTAATTCGTTATTTTGTTAATATTATGTTTGAACACCGAACTAGACTCAAAATTTAACATTATTAATAGTATCTATATATTGGTTTGTGCAGACATTTCTTTGGCAAATAAAATAAATAATAATAATAATAATAACATATATGAATTTATTAAAACCTAATTTATTAAAATTAATTTATTAATTGAAGAAGTGGAACAGAAATGGCAGTTGGAGTTGAAGTAGTAGCAATGGGCTTCCGTATTGAAGTTGTCGAATCAGCAATATGTCCACTTTGTCGACAAGGATTCATGATTGCTCTGTTTGTCCCTTTTCCATGACTTGCCCTGGACTACAGGGCATTAGAAACAAAGCCAGGGCAGAAGGCGAAATTTACTGGGCTGCTAGACCTCGCATGGCCGAATGAGTTCAATACCATCAAGACACAACATAAAAAAAAAAATTAAAACCTGGGCTGGGTATCTGGGCCTCGTAAAAATAGCTGATTAGTATCTAGTTACTTTTAGCTTTATAGATTTTATTATTACTTTCATTTACCTATATATGTAATATATAGTAAGGAGTATTGGAATCGTGAAAATTTTCGAATCTGAGTTTTCAACGGAAATACACGTTTTGAGGTACCCTCAAATAACCAAGTCCCGAAAAATGGTCTGTGTGTATGAGAACACTAGCTCAAAACAAAAAGTCGTTCCAAACTGATATTAAGTTTTTAAGATAGGTGTATGCCCTAGATATTACAGCAACTTTTTCCTTAAAATCAGCTAACCGGAAGTGCCACTTTATGTCAACGGCGAAACACATTTTTACAATTTTCTGTAAAACGGCTCCAACAATTTTGATTAAACTCTGTTTATCATTGTATAATTAAGTGGTCTTTAATATCATTTAGTTGTTATCCCCATTGATGTCACTTTACAGGACTTAAGTGCACAAGTTTATACATCTCTCTCTAAAGTACCTTTTTTTCGGCTGGCACTACAGACCATAAAGATCTTTGGCCGCGAGATGTGGTCTCCTTACAGACGTGTGTCACGTTGCTACGAACCATGATTTCCATCCATAGCTCCATAGCCGATCCTCTGACCTACATTTTAAAACTTTGTGTAAGACGATCACAGCTATTCTGTTTTCTTTATCATCCCACTCGATGTTATCTGAGCGAATGAAAAATACTACTTGGCATTATTACCCTGACATTGAAAGAAACTAACCTGATAGAGGTAAGAATTACCTATATAATAAATACCCAAGGATTTAAACAAAGTTCAACTTGTGTAACAATATTTATGGCAGAACTAGGTATTTTAAAGTCTAGAGAAAAGAATTTGTACCTGTTAAAAAAAAATGCTAACATTCCGCACGAATACAAAGCTTTCCTTACTTCACCCTTAACAAAACTTTGATGCCTCTTTTAGCCTAGAATGAAACAGAAGACATATTTAAAATTAATTGAAATGCCTTGAATATTTATAAAGAATTGTAACAGAAAAGTATTTATTAAGGAAGAAGATGGCCCGGGGTTGCGGTCATAAATAGGCTAAATTGAGGTAAAACTATTTTATTGAAAGCCGACGTTTCGACCCGACTTTGCAGGTCTTCATCAGGGCTAGAACGGACAAGATACAAAAAGATAGAGAATTGTGGCAGTTACATAATATTTTGACATAATTTATAAACTATGTGAATAAGCTTATTAACATTATAAACAGTAAGTACAATAAAATATGAACAAAGTAAGCTAAGTAACAAGATCCTAAACTGAAGTAAATAGATGCTAACAATTGTTGTAGTGGAATATATAATAAATGAAAATGTGAATATACTTCTACAAAATCTACAGGAGAGATTGAAAGAAAAGGAAAAAGGATATAATATGAAATAATAGACATAAAGGAATGTGGAGAAAGAAAAGAAAAAGGAAACCAAAATTAGATAAATAAGTAAGTAAAATTGGAAGAATAAAATTAGAGACTTACAGATGTCTTCATCTAGGAGTTTCACTTACAACTGGAAAGGAAATGCTAATAAATGAAATATTAAATTATAAATTTATAAATAATCATACAAAATCTTATTACATAGATACATTAATATTACAAAGAGTTGTAATAGCTCGTATATTGGTGAAACCAAACCCCGCATTTTCCAACATAAAACGTCCATAACTTCCCGGAACCCTTCCGCCTCCAAACTTTCACAACATGCTCTAAACCTCAACCACTCATTTGATTTGAAAAAACCTCTATCCTTTCCACGGTTCCTAACCATGAAAAAAGACTCTTTTCCGAATCTATCCACATTCACATCTAACAGAATCCTGTGAATCATAATTTTATTTGTTATAATCTCTATTTTATATGTTTATTTATATATTTATAATTTAATATTTCATAGATATAGTATTTTTCCATTGTATCCATCCATATCTTCAAATTTTAGATACTATAATTTCCTAGGTTTTTCCCAATTACTCAGTTAACACATGTTAGCTTCCCCTATACCTGCTACCCTTAGCATTTGCTTTCCAGTTGTAAGTGAAACTCCTAGATGAACACATCTGTAAGTCTCTAATTTTATTCTTCCAATTTTACTTACTTATTTATCTAATTTTGATTTCCTTTTTCTTTTCTTTCTCCACATTCCTTTATGTCTATTATTTCATATTATATCCTTTTCCATTTTCTTTCAATCTCTCCTGTAGATTTTGTAGAAGTATATTCACATTTTCATTTATTATATATTCCACTACAACAATTGTTAGCATCTATTTACTTCAGTTTAGGATTTTGTTACTCAGCTTACTTTGTTCATATTTTATTGTACTTACTGTTTATAATTTCCTCGCCCGGCCTCCCCATGGGGAGCGTCCCACGGGTGGCGGATGTGGGGATGGTCGGTGGAAATTCCTTGGAAGTTCCTCCCGGCTAAGTCCGATGGACTCGCTGACCAACAATGAGAGGGGCCCTCCAGACTTAGACTTGCTGGAGGTAGGGACCCACCAGACTTGCTGGAGGGAGTGACGTAGGATTGAACGCCCTACTCACATATCTTTAGTTCACCAAACACCACAAATAGTCATGGATCTCCCTAAGATGAAACGCTCATTATCCGGAAGTAAACTAGTCCCCCGTTCGGGTCTCCGGGTGGGGACTGAGGTTCGCTGGCCAGGGGAGGGCTCGATGTGGGAAGGAAAGTACACTATTTGGTACGGAGGAAGCGGGAGTCATTGTTTGGGTACCGGGTTTCTAATTAGGAGTAGATTACTATCCGCTTTGAGGGACGTACAATTCTTTAGTGATAGAATTTCGGTAGCTACATTTCAGGGACGTTGGTTTAAAATCGCATTAATAAACATACATTGTCCGACCGAAGACAGTGACGATGAAGTCAAAAGTGAATTTTACGATAAACTCGAATGGGTTTAAGATAAACTACCGCGAAACTACATGAAAATAATTATAGGTGACGCGAACGCAAAGGTAGGAAGGGAAGAAGTTTATATTCCGACGATTGTTAAAGAAAGTTTGCACGAATATAGTAATGATAATGGGATCCGTCTGATAAACTTTGCCATCTCGAAAAACCTGATAATTAAAAGTACGACGTTTAAACATAAGGATATTCATAAATATACTTGGACATCACCGGATTCGCAAACACGAAATCAAATCGATCATGTCTTGATACAACATAGCTGGCAAAGCAGTATAATTAATGTACGGTCTTATCGCGGAGCAGAATGTGGGTCGGATCATGAATTAGTAATCGCGAAACTTCGACAAAAACTTAATATAAAAAAGAAAAGAAAACCGTTTCGATTTTGAGAATTTTAATTTGGACAAATTAAAAAATCCATCAATTAGAACCCAATTCGAGCTAGATGTTAAGAATAGGTTTGAAGCTTTAGAGCTTCCTGACGAGGACCACGAGGATATTGACAAGTTATGGGTAGAGATCAGGGATAATATTAAAGCGGTCGGTAACTCGTGTCTAGGAAAAAAGGAAAATAAGAATAACAAACCGTGGTTTGATGAAGATTGCTTAAACATGTGCGAAAAACGAAAAGCCGCTAAATTAAAAGCTCTAAATAATCCTAGCGAAGACAATCTGGAATACTTCCGAACCTCAAAGAACGAAACGACAAAATTGCTCAAAAATAAAAAAAGGGAGTATCTTAAAAATAAAATAATTGAAATAGAAACTAATAGAATCGAAAATAACGTAAGAGACATGTACAAAGGTATAAACAGATCACGTAAATGTGTAGGGTCCGTAACATCTGGAATTAGGGATGATAATAACAATATTCTGACCGATCCGGTTGACATATTGAATAAATTTAAGGACCACTTTGACAATATTTTAAATACGGGAAATTATGATCTGTGTCCTCCTTCTGAGTACCAGAGTGCTGAACCGTTGATAGAAGGACCGAGTAAAGAGGAAGTTGAATTAGCTATCGGAAAATTAAAATCTTATAAAGCAGCGGGAACCGACAATATTCCTACTGAACTAATTAAGGCATGTGGGGAAGCTGGAGTTTCTAAAATACATCGGTTGGTTAAAAAGATCTGGGTGAATGAGAAATTACCTGAAGAATGGAAAGAATCTATTCTTATTCCGATTCACAAAAAGGGACCGAGGACGGATTGTAATAACTATCGAGGAATTTCACTCCTTCCGGTATGTTAAAAAATATTTGCTTTAATCTTAACCAGTCGAATCACGAAATACGCCGAGGAAATTATCGGAGACTACCAATGCGGATTTAGACGGAATCGTTCGACTATTGATCAAATATTTTCTTTACGGCAAATATTAGAGAAAAACTTGGAGTACAACGGTATTGTTCACCAGCTGTATATAGATTTTCAAAAGGCTTACGATTCTATTGACCGCCAGAAACTGTATAATATTCTAATCGAGCAGGGGATTCCTAAAAAATTAGTAAATCTAGTCAGGATGTGCTTGACGGAGACACTCAATAAAGTTAGAATCGGTAATAATCTGTCCGAAAAATTTGAAGTTCGTTCGGGTTTAAAACAGGGGGATTCCCTTTCGCCTGTCCTGTTCAATTTGGCATTAGAACATGCCATTAGGGAGGTAATGCGTACCGAGAAAGGGTTGGATCTGGGTGGGACAACATCCGTGCTGGGCTATGCGGATGATCTGGTACTGTTAAGCGAAGACCTTGAAACTATAAAACTAAATACGACAACGTTAATGAAAGCCGGTAAAGAACTAGGACTCGAAATAAACGTGGATAAAACAAAATATATGGTTAGCTGCAAAAATGGCAATACTACTGGTGAAATCGATATAGATGGAAATATGTTTGAACAGGTAGATAAGTTTAGGTATCTAGGTTCTACGATAACTAGAAAAAACGAAATTGAAGAAGAAATTAAGGTTAGACTGAAGGCGGGAAATGCTTGTTATTTTTCTGTGACAAAACTACTTAGTTCGCGCCTCTTGTCCCTAAACTTAAAAATTAGATTCTATAAAACAATTATCTTGCCTACAGTTCTTTATGGGTGCGAAACTTGGCCGCTTACATTAAGGGATGAGCAGCGTCTTAAGATTTTTGAAAATAAAGTATTAGTGTAAGCGTAGAATATTCGGACCGAAGAAGGATGAGTTAACCGGAGAGTTCAGACGGTTACACAACGCCGAATTGCGTGAACTGTATCCGAGTAATATAAATGAGATAATTTCATCGCTGCGAATCAAATGGGTTTGTAAAGTTGTTGGACTTAGTAACGAGAGAATTCCTAAAAGGTTAATATATGCTGTGCCGAATGGTAAGCGTCCGAGGGGTAGACCGAAGCGAAGGTGGGAAGATTGCATTAAAGCTGATCTGAAGGGACTGGGTTTGGACGGCGAACAATGGAGGGAGGTGTGCAATAAGCGATTGGTGGTGTCGGCATCGAACCTTCGGATTCGCGAAGCCTTTTTATTATTATTATTATTATTTTTACTGTTTATAATTTTAATAAGCTTATTCACATAGTTTATAAATTATGTCAAAATATTATTTAACTGCCACAATTCTCTATCTTTTTGTATCTTGTCCGTTCTAGCCCTGATGAAGACCTGCAAAGTCGGGTCGAAACGTCGGCTTTCAATAAAATAGTTTTACCACTATTTAGCCTATTTATGACCGCAACCCCGGACCATCTCCTTCCTTTATAATGCAACGGTCTACTATTAAATATTCAGAAGTATTTATTGTACTACCACTGAAATGTATTGCAGAAACCAGTAAGGAAAACAAGAATATAAAGGGAATTTTAATTATGAATTAAGCAATTAATTGGTATCCCAATTTATTTTTGTTAATTATTTCTATGAAAATAGTTTTACCTTACACGGTTTACACGGTTTTTGTATTTTTCTAAATCGCAATGATCGTATCCGCAGCAGCATTCGCCACAGTACATGATGTCGCATTCGTTGCAGGTCATAGTATCGCAGTCGACGTCGTAGCTGCCGCAGCAGCCGGTGCAGTCGTCTAGATCATAGTAGCAGTTGTTGCAGTCGACGGTCTCGCAGTTGTAGTTGACATCTGTCTAAGAGAAAAATATATATGTAATATAATGGTTGGTCGTATACGCTTTATATTCGTTGTAATATAACGACCTAATTTCTATTAAGTTTCTATCTCATGGAACCGCCACTGAGTCGTCGGGATGCAAATTGTCGGTTGTGTGTATCTGCGAAAGAAAGACTGCTCATATTTCTGAGATAAATAACTATATGTAAAATAATTGTTGTTAATTAAAATAATACAATCTGTCTTCGGAATACATATAAATAAAAGTTATACAGTTTGAGCAACGAGTATTACAATTAAATGAACATTTTTATAATTTGTAAAATGGGGGTTAGTCCGACGTTAGACGGACACGGGGTATCCCCCTAGTATTGAAAAAATTAATAATTCGATTATCTCAAAAACGATATAGGTTTTGAGTTTTAACTGGTTTTAAGTTGAGGATGATTTTGGATAAATCGTGTTTTTATAACAAAGACTTATTAAATAACATTCAATAGCAAGAACTTACGCATGCGAAACTTGAAAACTTTGACAAGTCGGTTGCACAAAGGTTTGATCGATTCAAGTGGAAGACATCTAATGCGCATTCTTGGACCAGTAAAAGTTTATGAATCTTAGTGTTTTCTTCGAAATGTGGAATTGTATGGTGAATACCAGGGTTTGAGAATTTCCAACTTGGCCAGGTTGGAGAGACTGCAATGGACTGATCACGTCATCAGGATGGAAGACTGAAGGTGTAGTCTAAAAACGTACTGAAACACGTCATGGAAGACAAGATTTAGAGGAAAACCCTGATCACGTTGAAAGAGAATAGTATCTACTGAAATGAGTATAGCACGTGCTGCTATAATATACCGATTTGCACCTGTCCGTGACCTATTTGAAGAGTTCACCAGAAACTGCCTATTTTTTTATTGACAGTTGGAGTAGTTGACATGACTATTGATGTATCATGGGTTTATAACAAAAATGAAATCACTAAGTAACTATTTTTTTACCTATTTCTTATATTTTAAATTTTTCATTTCATTCCATAATGTAATGGACATACCTTCCCCGCAACGAAGCTCACTCCTACCAGACAGAGAAATAATACTTGCTTCATGGTGCTGAAACTGGTCGAGGACTGGTACTGACTGGGAGCTCCGGTGGTCCTGTATTTATACTAATAAGTTGAGTGGAAGGGGTAATGGATTAAACGATTCATTGTTATGATAAAATTGCTAACGTTTATATTTATAGATAATTAAAATTTTAATGTCTTTCATCTTGATTAGAATTCTCTATAGCTATTTTAATTAGGACCATGAAATATAGCTTTGTTTACATCACTTGCTAAATATCGAGTTTCAGGTATTTAAAATACAAGGTGGGGCTCTAGAGCGTCTAGCACTCGTGGAAAAAGGCTAGAAAACTGCATTGAAGATTTAAAATATTATGTAAATTCTCCATCTCAACCTACCTATTGGCCAACTTCAATATCAAAGTCTCCCCAATCTTCTTGATTTTTTTTGTTACACGCACTTTACCACATGCATATTCTAACGCTTTTTCTATCTTTGAACTTTCATCTGATCATAGCCCTGTTTTACTTGAACTGTCAAACAATCCTTTCGTTAAAACTGAACTTCCGACATTAATTAACGGCTACATAAACTGGGACGACTTCAAACATTTTCAGAACAACAAAATTACTTTAAACACTTTCATTAGTACAGCTGACAATGTCGTTGACTGACAAAAGATATACAAGAGGCTATTTGACATTCGACATGACCAAAAAGGACATACACTAAATTTGATTCTTACCTCAGCCAATACGTAATCTTATAAAAGAAAAACGAGAGGAGGAAAAGAAAAAAGAGGTCTATGCCAAAGAACCAGGTATCTACCATATAAAACAGATCTAAACAAACTAACCGAAAAACTTCACAAAGAATTAGCATAATTTAAAAACGACATCTACATGGACTACATAGACTCAATAAACAATAATGACTGATCAGTATGGACAACAGCAAGACTTATGCTGAAGAAATAAAACATTCAATACCCTCTCCGACTTACATACAACACCTGAGCAATAACAAGCGAAAAAGAAACCAATTTATTCGCTAAATGTCTTGCGCAAGTATTTGGGACAAACACGGTACAGAACAATACACGCACTATCACAGTAAAAGATGAATTGACAACACCAGTACTCTTATCACTATCCCCACCAGCATTTTATCCAAAAGAAATAAACATATTCCAAATAGAAAAGCTCCTGGCTACGATCTGATCTCTACCTTTATTGTTCGACATCTACCTCAAAAAGCTGTTCTCTTTCTTACACACTTCTATAACTCTATCTTACGCATTATCTATTTTCCTCTCCTTTGGAAACTTTCCACAATTAAAATGATTCCTAAACCTTCAAAATCTACCATCACTCCTTCATCCTATCGTCCTTTAGTACTTCTTCCTACAATGGGAAAAATATTTGAAAAACTTCACGTGCACCGTCTAAAAAGCCTATCATAGAGAGTAGTAAAGTGATACCAAATCACCAGTTTGGCTTTCGTTGTTATCACTCCATTGTGCAACAGTGCGATCGGATAGTAGATGCTATCTCTGTTGCTTTTGAGAAAAAGGAATACTGCTCTGCGGTTTTGCTTTATGCAGAGAAAGCATTTGAAGTTCCACCTCCCCAAAACTATCATGATTTTATATATGTTCGTAGTTACGTTTTTGGTCTGAAGGTGGATAGTTTTCCCTCCACCCAGTTTATTTCACATAGCATACGAAAATCGGTAGAAGAAATTTCCAATTGTAAAAAAAAATTGTTGAAGTACCTGAGAATGCATAGAGAAGAGTTGGTGATCGGCGGGAAAATGTTTTGCTACTGCGCATCTCTCCCGCATCCATCCCCATTCTACTTTTCCGCAAACTCGTCTTGATCCACTACACCTCTTTATTAGTGAATTCACTAATTCAGGCTTCAATTTTTTTTTTATGTTTGGGTAAACATGTATTAATGTTTTGTTAAATAAAAAATAGAGAGCAAACCCCAACAAACAAACGCACCTTGACACTGACTTCACTATTTATAGAGTACACAGCAAATATCAACATTACTCACTGTGGTATTAGTCCATTGTTGTTGCTGCTGTTTTGATTTCAGCGTTACTAATTTTAAGTAAAAAAAAGAGGAACTGTGGAAGACGATGTGTAACGTGGCTAATCGAACCTAGCCCATGCGCAGAACTCAGTATTATTATTATTTTTATTTAGTTATATCATAATCTGTCACGTGGATCATAATTATAGTGAGAAGTATTATATAAAAAAAAGCATTAAAACTCGATAATTTGCAAGTGATGTAAAAAAAGCTATATTTCATGCCCTCTAATTAATTTAGTTATTGAAAATTCTAGTCAAAATGAAAAACATTAAAATTTTAATCATCTATAAATACAAACTTCAGCAATTTTATGATAAGAATGGATCATTTATTCCTTTACCCCTTCTACTAAACTTATTAGTATAAATACAGGACCACCGGAGATCCCAGTTCCAGTACTCGACCAAGTTCAGGTTCAGTACCATGAAGCTAGTATTATTTCTTTGCTTGGTAGGAGTGAGCCTCGTTGCAGCTTAGGTATTTCCATTATATTATGAGTTATCTTAAAATATAAGAAATAGTGAAAAAAAAATCAAGTTACTTAGTAATTTCATTTTTTTTTTTTTTTTTTTTTTGGTTATAAACCCATGATACATCGATAGTCACGTTAACTACTGCAACTGTCAATAAAAATATAGGCAGTTTCTGGTGAACTCTTCAAATAGGTCACGGACAGGTGCAAATCGGTATATTATAGCAGCACGAGCTATGCTCATTTCAGTAGACACTATTCTTCCAACGTGATGTGGGTCTTCCTCCGAATCTTGTCTCCCATGATGTGTTCCTGTACGTTTTTATTGCACACTTAAAGTCTTCCATTATTATGACGTGATCAGTCAAATTCAGTCTCTGATCAGCCGAGTTGGAGATTCTCCGACCCTGGTATTCAACATACAACTCCAGATTTCGGCGGGGCTGTATGGTCGTAACCTTTATTTATGGTGAATAATTATTTTGTATTAGGAGAGTAGGAGTTAACAGGTGCTAAACACGTATGTAATTAAATGAACAGTTGTATAATTTGTAAAATAATCTCCGAGCTCCTGTTTCTTCTACTGCCCTAATGCTAAAATAAAATAAAATATGAAAATCACAAAAAAATGTTTACTTTCACTTATCCGTGTATGTAATATATAGTAAGGGTAAGTATCGCTATCATAGAATTTTTTGAATCTGTGATTTCAACGGAAATAAACGTTTCGTCTGAGTCTAAAACCAAGTCCCGCAAAATGTGTGTGTTTGTGTGCGCATTTGTTTGTGTGTTAACAGCAAGGCACATAAAACCAGAGGCACATCAAATTTTTTGATGGGCTGAAGGCCTGTGCAAACCCACTGTTCAATGAGATCTCACCACCACCCAGACCTGGGAGGTGGCAAGGTAAACTCCCTTTGGTGGACCTACTCGCCGAAGGATGTGGTCTGGTCTCTGCGGTCCAAACCCATTAATTTGTATATATTGTAAATAATAAAAAATTAGCAGAACGGTCCTTCCCCGTTCAATGTCAAAGTCACAAGGCCTTCTGCCACATATGTAACCCTTAGCTATCCCCAATCCTTAAAATGCCCTCGGGCAGTGGAAGGAATTTGTTACATGTATATATTGTATTATTGTATACTATGTATGTAATTGTTTCAATAAATATTTTGGAGGGTAAGAAAAAAATAAAAATAAAAATGTCGTACAAAACTGATATTACGTTTTTAAGGTTTGTATATGCCCTGGATGTTATAGCAGCAACTTTTTCGTAAAAATCGGCGAACCGGAAGTGGTACCTTAAATCATCATCTAATACATATTTACGATTTTCTCAAAATGGTTCTAAAGATTTTGATTAAACTCTCTAGGTCAGTGTATATTAAGTTTTTAATTTAAGATAGGTTTTATCCTCATCGACGCAACCTAGAAGTGCTCAAATGCCGATTTTTCCTAAATATCTTCTTCTGAAGTATCATTTTTTTTTTATTTGAAATAATTAACCATTATACATTTGAAACTGCTATAAAAGTTGTGAAATATAGTGGAAACTAAAGGGGAAATAAGGGTAGAAAGATGTTTAACCGAGAACGCCCGACCTTTGCCGATCCTCTCCCTTTACAGAGCTTTAATATTGTTAGTTTAACTTTTATGTATCACTTATCCATAATTTTTTAAAAAGGTCTTCGTGCGAAACGTTGAGGATTTACTAATATAAATAATATGCAATATAAAGGTTTTTGATAAAACTCAGAATTTTTTCAAAAGATCCATTTTTCCCACACTCAGTTTTATTTGATACTATACACAGTTGTAAAAGGAAATGGAAAGGGATGCAAATTATGTATAAATTTAACTGATTCGATCGGTGGAAAAACTTTAGTGGGATAATTAATTGTTTTAATTAAAGTTATACCCTCGTATTAATTCGATTTCCTATAAGAAAATACTTAGACTCTAAGGTCGGTAAGTGAAAGTTGTGTAATGCGTGCATTGCACCAGTTTTTTTTTTTTTTATTGAACATTAAAAACATTTTTATTTTTGTTGCAGGTAAGTTTCTCGATCTTTCAAGCGATTTCACTGATTACAAAATAAGGTAACCGACTTTGTAACTTCTATAAAACAATGATGTAACTTTGATATGATACACAACAAATTTACATTGACCAAATATTTCAATATATCAACTGCAACCTCTTAATAATTGATATATTGAATGTATTAAAAACTTTATTTCTATAGCTGGTTCCATTTGGTCATCCAATTTCTATGATTTGAACTATACTACGCTTTTAGTAGTAGATTTAATTTTTGTTTTTCGTTTTTTATATCTTAGTTTGTTTCTGATTTTTTTTTTTATTCTTTAGATCAATGTTATTCTGATTCAAGTTGTTCATTAGCTAACAAGTAACAATAGATTTTTATATGGTTCTAAGGCCAAACTCACAGATATTGTAAGTTTGAATTGTATCAAGTGAGAAAAGATTGAAGATTTGACCACATTCCGTAATTATTTATTTATTAAGCTCCTTTTGTCCTTAGTATTAGATAATTGGTCTTAAGTGAAACGTTTCTATATACTTATATTAGACAGTTTCCAACTGCAATGCAATTGGTTCTGATATGTGTGAAATTGAAAAATTTTAATTTTGGGTTAAAAAAGTAACTACGAAGTTGAATAAACCTTTGTAAAATAATGGATTACTGTCCTGCATTGCTGTATTTTTACTCTCAGTCTTCTAAATTTTTTTTTAACTCTCAACCGTAGACGTTATCTCAAGCATTTGATGATTTTTAACTATTTAATATTATAAACTCTTTAACTTAAAACGTGGAAAGATGAAATGAAATAGAAATGTATTCTAAATTATTGACATTTCGGCCGCTACGGCACCTTCAGACACATTAGTTGTGTTGTATCTTAAGGCTGCATGAAATCTTTCCACTTTAAACTTAAAATACAGGAAATAAAACTTCATTTTCAAACTGTTAAGAAGTAAGAAATAGTCCAAATGTTTGGCTCGATATACGGAA